CTAAAGTTAAATCCTGGTCAAAACAAAAAATTGTATTCTTCATCAAATATCTCCAATACGATCCATTTTAGTGACATCACGTTATATAAGTTATATTATATAAAACGACATCAAGAAAAAAATTTATCCGAAAAATTTTCTTATCATAAGTAGCACAAATATACCAAAAAATACAAAAACGACTGCATAAAGTACTTCGCCAGTTAGTCTGGCTTTGCCTAAAGTCTAACCAGCTCTTTACCAAAAACGCTATTTTCCAAAAGCAGCTGAATAGTTTTGGTTGTACCGCCAAAAAAACGTCAAACACATATCACTATACAGAGTGGCCCAAAAGTCTGGAAACGGCCAATTATCTCATAAACTGCTGGTCCTAATTGTACAAAATTTTGGGGTACACCTATTTTGGGATACGGTGATTCCAGATTTGATATTTGCAATGTTGCCAGATTTGCCATTTCTCTTAAATCATTAGTCACTTTGGTTTTTCAAATTCATCTCCCTGTATATTCAGTCATTATTGGAATTTCCTATTCAATACGAGTTCAACCATATGTAATATGTACAATAAGGATTAGCAATTTACCAGATAATTGGCCGTTTCCAGACTTTTGGGCCACTCCGTATATTGTGTCCACAGATGGACTTAACTATGCTTGTAAAAATATTTATTTTTTACAACAGTTGTGGATTTGCAAAATTAAATTTTTTTGGAAACGCTTTAATAGAGCTTGTAATGAGAAATCGAAAAATTCTTCATATGAGCGCTTGAAAAAAATTGTACCTATTTTTTTTATAATTTTGAAAATCCACAATTGTATTTAACAAAGAAAATAAATTATGAGGAAATATATATTTTATTTTTAACAGACTTCAAAAAAGGAGTTTCTCAATTCGTCGAAATATTTTTTTTTATTTATGTTCAACGGTACGTCCTTTACTACATTGTCCGATTTCTACGATTATTTTTTGCTAGAAAGAGGGCACCTCGGGGGTGGTCCCATATAATTTTGCTCAAAATCTAATAATGTGGCCATAAGAAAATCATCAAAATCTTAATTTTTTTTAGTATTTTCGGCGATAATTATGTACCACGTTGTCCGATTTCTAGGATTCTTTTTTTGTTAGAAAGGGGATACCTCAGGGGGTCGATTCTCGACTTGTAGGAACCTTTTCCTATAGGAATTTGTGACACTTTCCTATATGTAGGTAAATGTCATAAATTTTAGATGTATAGAAAGATGTCAAAAATTCCTATAGGAAAAAATTCCTACGAGTCGAGAATCGACCCCCAGGAGTAGTTCCATATGCAATTGGTCAGTATCGAATGACCTTTGAGAAAATAAATAATCTCAATTTTTAAGGTCGGTTTTTTAAAATTACTTTTATAACTTGTTACAAGATTGTATCCGCGGACATGTACACCCGGATATTTTTCAAAATATGTTTTTGGGTTCCTGGGACCCCAAAACGTAAAGGTATGGTGTTATCTAAAATTCGAGTTTTAGTGTGATTGCAATAACCTCCCCATTTTTATGGGTTGGTTAAAAAAGAAAAAAAGACACTGTTCAAATAAGAGGGTGATGAAGTATGTTTTTATAAATACCTAAGAATGTCTCAAAATCAATTTTTTATACTTGTCTCGAATTGAAAATAAAATTCACAATAACAAACTTTTCGGGAAGTAATAGTGCAAAGGAAAAACGTATGGTTGTTTGAGGTGAGATATCAGTTTTCATTCATCCATAATAATAAAATCAATTAAAAATTTTGTATAGATAATAACTAAAATGGACACATTATACCTTGCCGTTCCGTTTGACACATTCACACTAGCCGGATGAACAGGCAACGGCACGGACCATCATGTCAAACTAACGTTTTTGATAAATCTTGACGGTCTGTGACGTTACCTATGTATGTGCGAATTGACCATAATTATCCTATAACATAATTTCCTTTAACGTATGTAACATAAGTTTTGAGACAAAAATCAAGTTAACATTACTTGTTAAAATTATCAACTTTATTTAAATTAGGTAAACGGTTAACGATTAACATCATTTCTTAACCATAAGAATATATTATAATGCAGCTAACGGCCTATGGTCTTATATCTGTCATATTTTTGTTGTCAAGTACTTCATAAGTAATTGGATCGTAATAACATCGATTTCCCGAATCTTATGGTAAATTATCCTTCTTAATTTTTTATTTTCTGCCTTTCATCCATTATTATATACTTGTCTGCTTAATAAGGCCCAAAATTCTTGGATGGGACATGCTTGGGGTACATTTGGTGGATTATTTTCTCTGGGTAAAAATGGGACATTATTGGCTTCCAATCAATCTCTGGTTTGTCTGGCATAGAGACAAGATGCTAGATTAGGTTAAAACGTGATGTTATCGTTAATATGATGTCCGTTTATAAATTGTAACAATTTAGGCAAACATCTTTGTATATAAACACCTGCAGTGATGGCTTCTCCTCTAATGTCCTAAATATGACAGTGATGCACCTGCCGAAGAAATAGCGCACCACACCAGAATTTTGTGTTCAAATTTAGCTTTCCTTTTAAATTTCACATTATCCGAAGCTGCATTGAAATCCTCTGTATAGAATCCATCATTCTCCGTTCAAACAAGTAAATAGCACAGTCGAAGCATTTGGGGTATATTTTATAGGGTGTCGGTTATTCTACTTAAAAAAAAAATAAAGTCCTGACAATATTTTCTTAGGCAACCCTTTTGCGGTATATTTATAAACATACTTTATTAAAAAACTTTTATCTGGTAAGGATATGGACGAAGGTCGACCTTTTTTTCACCCGTTCAGGCATCAGAATGCTCAAGACTGGGCAGCATATTTTGAATTTTTTAAGGTAAAAAAGTGGCAGCAGACCGAAAATTGTGTAGTGTTTCAAAGTGTCTCGAAGCTTTCCGTAAAATTTAAATAATAATATCTGTCGTTCGAATGATGGCATATATTACCATAATCATACTAAGCCCAATTTTCAAAACGGATTTTCTACAATTTAATTTGTATATGTTGTATGCTGTATTTCTATCTGTGGGACTATGTTAGAATTGTTGTTACAAGTATTAGAAATTAAAAATTAAAATAAAACTACTTCAAAAACGTGCCAAAATATGGGAGGGACCACCCCTGAGGTATCCCCTTACTAACAAAAAAAGAATCATATAAATCGGACAAGGTGGTAAAGCATTATCGCTAAACATACATAAAAAATGAAGAGTTTGAGGATTTTCTCATGGACCCAATTATTAGATTTTTACCAAATATATATGGGACCACCCCTGAAGTACCCCCTTTCTAACAAAAAAAAGAATCATTGAAATCGGACACCGTGTTAAAGAATTATCGCTGAACATACATAAAAAAAAATATCGCGACGAATTGAGAACCTCCTCCTTTTTTGAAGTCGGTTAAAAATGCATTAATACTATTCTACATTACGGCTGCTCTACGGTAAAAGAAACTATATGCTTCAAATAAAATTTTACAGAGCTAAAAATAGTTAAAAGCGTTGCATGAAGGATATTCCTATAATTTTAGTAATTGATGACTAATACAACTTTTTATGAGGATTTTAAAACTGATATCATATTGTAGAAATTTCTTGTGGAACTTTGGTTAATGCAGTTACTCTTTTAGACCTTCTTTAAAATATATCATTGTTTTAAGGAAAAACAAAATACGTTGTTTTTCATTAGAATTTACATGTTTAACCGTTCCATGTATGCTAGGGAGAAAGGAAATACACTCAATGTCAAAATATCAATTTCGACAAAAATGTTGGTTACTTTGTTTAACGGTAGAGCACCCGATTAGGTATCGATTGTAGAAATCGTACAATTTCATTATATCTGTACTATGTGTAATTATTTCAAACATACAAATAAAACCAACACACGCCATTCTCATAGAAATAGTAGGCGTGGTTCAATTGAAATCATGCATGAATTTGTAGAGCAAAGATCGCACACCGATTCGAGAATATGGACCTTGAGATGTGTAGAATGTGTTGACTGAACAACAGTCGGGGTCACTAACATTGATTACTTTTTGTAATGATCTAAAATTACAAAATATAAATAACAATTGAAGGGGTTAGAGCAAAAAGGGTATAAGTGCAGATTATATAGTTTTGAGTAATTAGATGTTAACGTTAATTGCTATTTGAAAATTGTATGAAAAAGAAATTGTCTTAATGTTAAGGCGTGGCTAAAAAAATAAGGCAAAAATCCTATGAATAAAGTTTAAAAATAAAAATTAGTTCAGCCAAAATTTTGAATTTCATGTACTTATACCCTTTTTGCACAAATAGTACAGGATCCGTAAGTAATGTCGACCTTCACCCATCTGTTTAATGGATAAAAGTTTTTTTTTATTAAACAAAATATGTTTTTAAATATACCGCAAATGGGTTGCCTAAGAAAATATGGTCAGGGCCATTTTTTGCTTTCCTTTCTGTGTACAGATAAGGAAAGTATAGGAATCATGATAAAAGTTGCTTATGATGCCATTCTCTATTATTTTGTTCCTATACATAATTTCCCTAAAATGGACCTAATTCAAGATATTTGAGGAAAACTGCAAATTTCTAATTTTGAAGACAACCCAAAAACGGATAAAGAGAAAAACACCAAATTTTAAACTTAAGCTTTAATCTATCCTGCGGCAAGCTGATTAAAGTTTAGACATTATCGAAGCATCTAGGGAATACTTTACAGGGTGTCGTTTTTTTTTTATTTTAAGAAAATAAATACTCTGGACCATATTTTCTTAGGCAAACCTTTTGCGCTGTATTTATAAAAATATTTTATTTATTAAAAAGAAACTTTCATCCATTAAACAGATGGGTGAAGGTCGACCTTACTTCGGATCTTAGACTAAAACGAAAATAGTAATTTTGTTAAAGTTGGTCAAATAAAACTAATTTTTTTTTTAATATAAGCTTGTTTATTAAAGGAAATACAACTTATGAGTCATAATGCGAATCAAGGTCATTATCATCCAAGTCTTCTTCACCATCCGATTCTACATTGGCTCCATTGTTAGAATTACTTGAACCTGGTTCTGAATTTTTAGTAGTTGCTGTTTTGGCCTTTTGTGCTTTCTTCCCTTTAGATTTTGGGTGGATCATATTTTTATAAAACCCATGATAAATAGTGGGAATGTACTCCAGAAGGCTCTGGAGATTATTCCATTTTTCAAGTTTAATAGGCACTGGGGATTTGTTAGATTGCTGCAGTGTTGATTCTAAGGAAAACGTTGGACGTCCGACGAAACGTGATCCGCAAGCACATTTTGAAAATGAATACGAACTATCTAGAGTATGTTTAAACTCAAATGAAAATGTTTCCATATCTTTGTCATATTTAAAATATGCGACTTCCCTAAATTGCAATGGTTTTCTTTCGGAGTCCTTTTTGAAATCTTTTATTAAGTTGTCTAAATTTTCAAAGGAGTAAAACATTTCTCGAGTCATATTACACACGATAAATTTCTTTGAGGAATGAGCAATCACTGTCCTCCACTGATCAGGTATGAATAGTTGTGGATTCTTTCTTATTTTTCTCAATTAAAGCCGAAGTTTCTGTCACATTCCATGTATGTATAGCCCGGTTCTAAAAAATTATGATGATATTCTTCAAGGTGTGTAGCTTTAGTTAGAAACATAAATAATTTTCATTTATTTTTATTCTTATTCTGCCCCCCACATGAATCACTATATGCTATGAGTTTGGTAACATTGAAGGGCAATTGCTTAATGAAATGTATTAAACAAGAACCAATTTCTTGTGATCCTCTACCACCTCCAGTTTCATCCCAAATGTAAATGTAAGATTCACCAGCAATCAAATTATGGACGCAAAAATTTTAGGTCCAAAGTTGTCTCAGATAAAAGACCTTTGATGTTGTTAATAACGAAGTAGGTAATATTTGTTGTAAATCGAAGCAAACTACAGTAGTATCCGTCAAGTTCTTGTGCATTGTAATGTCTAAATCCTTTACTTTAGATGCTTTATCCGCCTTTCTTTAATGGACTTCTAATAATGTCTTAGCTGATTTCACACTGTCTTCATTGGCTGAATGTTTAATATTTTGCAAAATATCGCACCTTGAGCAAGTATCAGTGTGAGGTTTGTGAAAACGTAGATTAAACTCTCTATTGAAAATTCTACGGTAGTACAACATGGCAGCGACTTTATTGTTTTTAACACAGCGTTCTTTATATAAGGAGTAGAGTTTTGTTACATTAAGTTCAGGTGATAACATCTTATGTTATTATCTTTTCGCGAATAGTGGTTTATATATCTTGGAAACTGTTTTATATGTTGAATAATAAAATCTCTAGTCTCTTGGTCGATGTTATTAACACTTTGCTGTTTTCCCCGCTGATCAATCTGGCAAATACTTAGATCATCAGTTTTTTACACACCATAGTAAAGCGCCTATTGCTTATGTCAAAAGTTCCTCTTTGTTGCGTCTTTGGTTATACAGGAGGATAAATATGCAGTCTGCAAGTCGAATTAGGTAATTTATAAAAAATTTCAAATAATGCTTGTCCACAGTTTATAGCTAAAGAATCAGTTCTCTCACTCTGCGTCGGCACTTTTGATCTCAGTGTTCCAGTTTATACATTGCGCAACTCGAATTTGTATCCCTGGCGCATATAGAATCAAATCATAATAGCCCAAGAAGCCCACTGCTAATTTTTACCTCCATCTGATAATAAAATAAAATATACCCCAAAAGCTTGTAAAAACATTGTACTTTACCAAATGACAAATGTGCCAATCCCAATCTTGAGCAAAGTGGTTAAAAAAACATATTTTATATTAAAAAAATCTCATATGGCATAACAGCGCTAATTTTGTTTGCCCTTAAAGTTTTCCAGATAATAACAAATATATCTTGATATATATCGTTAAGGGGAAACATTTTCTTCCTCTTAACATCGCACAAAAACATCTACACACGATTAGTAGGTAAAAATCATTAAAAATATAAATCAATTTTTACTGATTTAAAAATTTGTTTGTATGCCTATTGTTGTGATTCATTTTTACAGGTTGCCATAGAAACGACAAAAAAAAACTACTAGGATTAATTAGAATCAAACATGACAATCTCCCAAAGTGAATAGCAAAAGCGGCAATCTCCATTTTTCCTTATATATTATTATTAGAACTGTCTAACAAGAGTTTATAATTATTATTGACTATCTCTACAAATGATTTATACAGTATTATCCATTTTCCTTTCACACATACGCATAGTTTAAAAGGTAGGTAAAAATATTAATAATTCACGTTTAAAAGCTAGGTTCACAATGAATTGGGATTGTAATTTTCAGGGAAAACACAATTATCGCTGTCATGTCTTATGTGATTTTTTTGAATATAAAATAAAATTTTTTAACCACTTTGCTCAGGATAGATTGGCACAAGTGCAATTTGGTAAAGTACAATGTTGTTACATGTTTTTGGAGCATACTTCATTTTGTTATCAGATAGCGGTCGTAATTTGCAGTGCACAGTGTACTATAACCAATTAGACATTCCAACGACTTGTCAAACAATAGCTGCCAGTGAGAAGGTCTGGTATATCTAAGGGGGTAGCGACATAGTCTTGCATCTTGAACGCTTTTTTTATTCGTAATGATAGTCACCAAGCCTGCTAATTTATGAAAAAAAATGTATAGGCGCTTTATTTTTATTGTTTGACATAAAATATTTTTTTTTAATTTGGTGTCATCGGCGTCGACTACTACTGCCATTAGCCTGACATAAAATATTTAAATGTAATCCATTATTCATGATTTTACGTATTGTAAACAGAATACATCGTATGTCGCAACCCTTGGATATATCAAATCTACCCACTGGCAGTTCATTTGTTTGAAATTATATGACAACCGCCTATATTCAAACAGCAGTCTTCTGCGCATCCTGAATTTGTATCCCTGGAGTGGATGTTATTTTGGAACATCGAATTGGTCCAAGTGAGCTAACTGATTCTTTAGCTATAAACTGTGGCTCGTCTATTGGTTTCAGAAATATTTTCGTTGCATTTATACCTGCATGTGTGATTAAATACATGTAACTGCCTTTCTCGGTGCTCTACCCCCCTGTGTCCTATGTAAAGCTTTCCCTCAGTTCTAAGCCTGTTCTTCTTATTTCTTTTCCATTCAGGATCACATATCGTCATCAATATCACGAAGTGGCGTAACTCGATTTTCACAACTTTACAAGAGAGCGTTTTTAAGTTTTTTTATAAAGTTACGTCTCTTCGTAAAATTATCAGATACACACGGTTAGATACGTGCTATTTTAATAAATGTAATGACTTGAGATACGCAATTTTGTGAAATTGTAGAGCATACTTTATTACATAATATGTGACATCTCAATTTTCAATTTTTCGAGTTACGTCACTTCGTGATATTGACGATGATGTTTCTTTTCCTTATTCTTTTAGGTGTAACATGAATATTTTGAACATGTTGTTTCAGTTTCTGATTGTTGTGAGTTTTCATATAATTAGCTACTACTTGGAAGAAATTCTTCATTTTCGTCGGTATGATATGGGTCGTCTTGTGATATCCATCTAAAAAATACACATAAAAATATAACCTCAAAATTACCTATGTTTTTAATTATTTTTTGTCTTACCTTCATTACTCGCCATTTCTTTGATGTTGTAAACTATAACCATTTATTCTTAGACTCTATAAGCACAGCTAAACTTAATTAATAAGCAAAAACTACACTGATATTCCTAAAATGTAAGCGAACATTTACAACGCATGCAAGGCACTAATAAATTTCGTTTACTGCAAAAACGGTACAAGTGCACTTATACCCCTTTTGCAGGAACTAATTTGTAGAAATGGCTAACAAGGTTCTAGATTTCAACAAAAGATTGCGTTACTGATCGTCAAAAGCACTTATATCCTTTATGCTATGACAGAAATTTCATTTAACTAGATAAATCTGTACTTATCTCTAAAATGAAAAAAAGTCACTTGTACCCTTTTTGCTCTAACTCCTTCAATTCGTATAAAGAAAAATCCCAATAACCATTATCAACCCATATAAAGGTTATGTAGAAATTACAAATCTTACTCTCAATTTTTTCAATTTACCGTCACTCGTGAATAGATTTTTAGGAAATAAAACATATATATTTTGCTAAATCGTCTATTTTTCTGTATTTACAAAAATCGTACTTAAAAAAATTTATAAAAAAGATAATAGCTTCTATTAAAAAAATCAGTAAACTTTACAAATATTAATACAGCACCTAAAATCTATGAACGTTTTGATACAATAAAAAATCGTAGGATAAAAAATAATATTCGCTTTATATTTTTAAATATCACAATAAAAATCTTTTAAAAGAAATATCCTAAGCTAGGCACATTTTTATAAAATTGAAAAAAATGGAATGCTTTTAATCATTATTACATATAAATACTAATCTTATCACAGCATTATTTTTTTTTTTTAATAAGAGAGCCATTTTAATTTTACATACTTATATAAAATAAAACTTAAATAAAATTTATTCTTAACAAAAACAAAAATAAACTATTTTAAGAAGTTATTTTTAAAAATTTCAAAACAAGAAAATAAACTATAATATATGGACATTAGTATATTTACTAGATATACTTTAACAAAATTATTTTATTATGAGTTAACGAAAATAATATAAATGGAATGCGTTAAATTACAGCCTTGTAAAATGTCCAATCTTATTCTGTATCATTTGTTAGAAGTGCATTTCAAATCCCTCAATGACTTATTTATAAATTATATTATGAACGTTTCTTCATATAACAATTGGAATTATTATGGCATTATACTTTAATTACTTTGACCCTAGGAATAAACATATCGTCATCAAAAGCTAATATTTATAAAACAAATAATTTTGTAAAATTTAAGGGAATAAGAAGGGTGTTCAGTCGTTGAAAAAGTTTAAAGTACTTTCGACTGAATAGAGACATTGATTAGCTTTTTAAATGTCTAAGAATATTTAATTTGATTATTTTTAAATTAACCACTTTTATATCAATAAGACACTGCTATAATGTTGTCTAAGAGAACTAAGTGTAGCTCACTCCCCTAAGGACATTATAAAACTGAATTGAATAAAATGTTTTTTGTAGTTTTTTTCCTATAATTTTTTAACGTCAGCTTATTTCTACCTACGAGTTGTAAACACCGGGCGTTGTTAAGCACGCTACCCCCAAATACAAGAAATTTAGCCAAATCCTCTGGTGTTTCAACTAGAGGTAGGGATCTTTAATGAGCCCAACATCCTTGGACTCGGTACCGACGGTTTTACATCTTATACAAAAGATGATACATCCCACGCTATACTTCGTTCTCATTGACATAACGCCTGTCAGCTGTGGTATGCAAATACGCAGGCAGTTTTTTGGGCTTTTATACGTACGTCGACTTTCCTTAGATA